GATCCAGATGTTGTAATTTCAAAGCATGGCATGTGTTGTCTCCTGCCTAGATCTCTCCTCTCTCTCTCTTCTCCGACTCTCTTTTGGGATTTCAGTTTTACTAGGGAGATGGTTGTGAATTTGGAACATACCCCAAGTCTTCAAAGTATGGATTGGCTGAATTCTGCCCTTTGGGGCTTGCAGAAACCGAGGCTCCGCTAAGGAAAAATCCCGTCCTATAGGAGGCTGGATGACATTGCTTGACCTCAGCTAAGCCCTTCTCCTTGGTAGCCCCTCATTATCTCCCAGGGCACTTGAGTTTGTGGAAGATGACTTGACAAAAGCCTTCCCTAGTTGAGAGTAGAGAATCCAATATCACCATCACTAAGGAGTGACATGATAGCAGTGTTCCAATATTTGAGGGGCTGCCACAAAGAAGAGGGGGTCAGAATATTCTTCAAAGCACCTGAAGGCAGGACAAGACACAATGGATGGAAACTAATCAAGGAGAAAAGCAACCTAGAACTAAGGAGAAATTTCCCGAGAGTGAGAACAATTAATCAATGGAATGGCTTACTTCCGGAAGTTTATCAAGTCTGATAAATTGGACAGTAGATTACCATTCCTGTTTTACAGGATTCCTCCAGAAATACAGGCTGTTAAGCAAGCTCTGTATGTAACAACTTTCCATAATTGTTTACGTAGCCTCCGTCTTCTTCTAAAGAACAGATCCTTGGCATCTGAATCCAGCCTCAAGTGACCAAGCTTCTCCTGTGTTCCCTAGCAGAAATAGGAATCTTATCTTTTGAAGATCATTATGATAACATTTAAGGAGTGGAGGAAAGACCTTTGTTTTCCATTTTGACCTGAAAAATAGAGTCACAGTTAGGATGACAATTAATTTGTGGTCATCCAGTTGTGTAACTTTCATAAACCCAATTCTTGAAATATTCATCTGCTGTCAAGGGATATAACTAAGCGAGGGGCTTGATAAGGGTAAGGCAGAAAATGACCAAACCAAACGTCTTGCATGTGGAAAATATTTCAGCAATATTTAAGTCAATTAAACTTATGTGGCAATGTTGTAAGTATGTAGAGTCCTATAGGTAGTCAAACATTTACAGACATATTTCCCCTGTATGCTGAATATCAGGAAATGTTGCATTTTTGAATGAGTAATCTTTGAAAAACTGTGTAGTGGCCAAAACTAGTAATTCACGGAAATACATTTAAATCCTTGCCAATTCCATAGCAAGGTAAATTACTTTGCCATATAGGGGAAGACATCATGGACTTTTTTAGGGCTTTTCTGTTGGCCAAAGTTAGATAATATCTTCCTTATTCTATAGAATCCCCATAAGAAGAGGGCATTGTATTACATTTGAAGGGACAGAGACTATTTTGAGCCTATTAATTTAATAAACACGCAAAAGGGGATCATGTGACTCTGGGACACCACAACCGTCATAAATATGAGCCAGTTGTCAGGCCTCCAAATGTAAATCACGTGACCATGGGAATGCTGCAATGGTCATAAGTGTGAAAAAGGGTCATAAGTCACTTTTTTGTAACTTCGAATCGTTACTAAACAAACCGTTGTGAGTCATGGACTACCTATACCAGGGGTAGGCAAGCTCGGCTCTTTTATGACTCATGCACTTCAACTCCCAGAATTCCTGAGTCAGCTCATAAAAGAGCCAGTTGCCTACCCCTGACCCCTATACATTGTCTCCCATAGATACGGGTGTAATGATTATACTGTGGTGTGCTGTATTAAGAGAAAAAGACAAAACTCGGGAATATAGTAACTTTTATTCTGATGAAAGAGCTGCTTTTCAAGACTGACATCTTTAAAAGGTGTGGACTTCATATCTCAGAATTGCCGAGGTAACAATATTGTCTGGGAATTGAAGTCCACACATCTTAAAGTTGTCAAGGTTGAAAAACTACTGGACTACAGTGACACATCTCTCCCTACAATGAGCAGGAAAACAGAAATCTGTGTTCTCACTTGACCATCAAGGTCATTGAATCACCTTGGATTGGTCAACTGCAGCCTCAAGTTTCTCCCAGGGTTCTTCAAGAAGGGGTAGGAAAAACACCATTCTAAAATATCTCTGGAGATTCTCAGTCCATCCAGGTCACCGTTGTCCCAAAGACGCTTTTTTACAAGGCAACTGGACTTCCTTGGCTCCATGGCTCTTCCAGGTTATTGTTTGGACAAAAAAGTAAAATAAAAGTTTCCTGTTTAGAAGTGGAATTGAGTTTACAAATAAGCTGTCAACTTTGCATAGTCTTTACATAAATATGTGGGGGATTTTTTTTGGTATCTTTTTGTTCCCAAATGGATGCAGGTTCAAATGAAATATTTATGATGTTGGCGTTAGACCTAACAGTATCTGGAAATATCATTTTTTGCTGGTTGTTGTTGTTGTTGTCTTGTTCAAAACAAATCAACTCCAGACCAGAAAGCTCTCACTTCTTTTTCCACTCTTCGTTGTTGTTGCGACTGCAAGAGAGAGTTTTGCCTTGCATAATCTTGTCCCTTGAAGAGCTTCCAAGTTTTAAGCCCTCCCTCTCTCGTTTGTATCTTTAAAAAGCCAGTGTTGCATGTTTGCAGTGCTGATCTAGCGTGACTGGAAGGATAGACCGTGGGACAGTTGCGTTCTTCTTGTATCTACTTTTTCAGGGTTTGTTTTGGTTTTTTGATAAAAGGAAACGGAATTTCAGACGTAGTTCAAACGTCTGCCTCTTGGTTTTGATGTTTTGCTGAAGCAGAAACTTTATACATTCGTTTGCCACACATATAGAAATGCAAAGTTTTCCTTAAAATGTTGCAGGTCTTTACGTATTCATTATATACATTACTTCAAAGCATGGGGTTGGCTTTCCAATTAAATCTGCAATTAATGTCAAGAGTTTGGAACGTTAATATTTATTTATTATGCTTGCTTTTCACTGTGCCTCTGGTGTCCATAGAGCAGTGATGGCGAACCTTTAAGAGACCGAGTGCCCAAAAACTGCCTCGCCCCTGCCCCGCCCCACCTCTCCTGCCCGCAGGGCCACCCACCACCTCCATGGCCCACCACAGCAGATCGCACAGGCGGCCCAGCAGTGTCATGGCAGCCACGCCCTCTGTCCGCACCCCACAGCATCATCTGTACGCAATGAGGCGTGAGGGCAGAGTCTTCTCCCCACTGTCCGGCTGCCATTTCCTTGGCTGCACTCGGGGCAACTCTCCTCCAGGGGAGCTGCTGGTGAGGAGGGGGCCAAGGGGGGTGGCGGGGCTGGGGCGATGACATGCGTGCCCACAGAGAGGGCACTGAGTGCCGCCTCTGGCACCCATGCCATAGGTTCGCCACCACTGTCATAGAGCTTCCTACTCCTATAGAGAAACAAGGAGAAATGCCATTATGCTTGGGAAAAGCCAAATATAATGTATTGAGGAGAAAGGAATCAAATGCCCATGGAGATTTTCAGTCATCCAGGTCATGGTTGTCCCAAAGATGCTTTTTCGTATAGATTTTATTAGGTTTTTATAGGGTTAGGAATAAGGTGAGGTGGGGTGGGGATATGGGTTAGGGTTAGGGTTGAGGTTGGGGTTGGGGTTGGGGTTTTTCCAAATAACATTCTTAATATTTAGCAAACAGTATAATGTCTGGGTTCACGTGTTTAACAAACAATAATAGATAATTGTTAATTATCATAAACAATATGTTCATTAATCGCTCAATAGCCTTCTTCTTGCTAATATATATTCAAAATTATATATCACATTCCTTTCTCTCTAACTCGTTTTTCTAGCCATTGATAGAAATTATCCCACGTTCTAAAATACACTGAGTCTTCTTTCTCTTTTATTTTTAAAGTCAATCTATCCATTTCTGAACACTCTAAAATTTTCTTAATTAATACTTCTTCAGCTGGTAAATTTTCATTTTTCCAATGTTGGGCAAATACAAGTTCTTGTTGCCGTTAGTACGTGTAGTATTAAATATCTGCAGTCTTTCTCATAATTTGCTCCTATTATTCCTAAAAAAAATAATTCTAGCTTAAAGTCTATTTGTTTTTTAGTTATTTTCTCAACCATAAATGTATTTTAACCCAAAATCTTTTTGCTTTGGGGCATGTCCACCAGATATGATAATAAGTACCTGGTCTTTGTTTGCATTTCCAACAGTTGTTTGAATTATTTTTAAACATTTTTGCTAATCTCACTGGTGTCATATGCCATCTGTAAAGCATTTTATATACGTTTTCTTTATAAGCCACTGCTTTAGTTAATTTAATATTTCTTTCCCATAACTTTTGCCAGTCTTGTAATTCTACATTATATGCAAAGTTCTTTGCCCATGTTATCATTGTTTCTTTTACTTGTTCTTCCTGCATCTTTAAGTTTAACAGAAATCTATAGAGTTTCTTAATCAACTTTTCATCTCTTTTTAGCAGTATCTGATGAAATTCCGTCTGTTCTTTATAAAATCCCATTGTTTTAACATCTTTTTCGTATCTCGTTTGAATTTGCAGATATGGCCACCGTGCTAGATCAATACCTTGTCCTTGTAAATTTTCCTTCATTGTCCAAACCAAAGATGCTTTTTCAAAAGATAACTGGACTTTCTTTGTTTTTTCCTTGAAGATGTTTCACTTCTCATCCAAGAAGCTTCTTCAGTACTGACTCATTCAGTTCTGTCAGAACTGAAGACACTTCTTGGATGAGAAGTACAATGTCTTCAAGGAGAAAGCAAGGAAAATACAGTTGCCTTTTGAAAAAGCATCTTTGGAACAAAGGAATCAAATACTATGGTTCTGTCAGAGAAGGCTGGGCGGGTCAAGGTTACCTTGAGTTGAAAATTGCTCTGATTTCTCCACGCTCTTTTGAATTCAGAGACCACAAACTAGTTCTGGGCATTGTTGTAACACATGTGGGAATTGCCTCACTTGTTCTCTTGTGTTTTCACTGCACTTTAAGCATCCTTCATGATGTTATTCTCTCTCTTCTTTTTTGCTTTCTTCTTAAGGTTCCAGATGTTATCAGTAGCATAAGGCAGGCTTCCAAAGCAGCCCTCAAAGAAGATGTGAAGCCCAATAAAGAAAATGAAGATGCCTTCTACAACTCCCAAAAATTTGAGGTCCTCTATTGTGGGAAGGTGACAGTGGCCCACAAAAAGGCCCCCTCTTCCCTCATCGACGACTGCATTGAGAAGTTCCACCTGCATGAACGTCAGCGCCTGAAGCTGCTCAGCGAGCACGGCAGCACGGATTCCAGCATGGACCTCATGACATGGGAAGATGGACCCTCTTCCCCCTTGGACAGTCCCTTTCAGGAGATGGAGGGTTCCAGTGGAGGCACCCAGGGGATGTTCATCGTGGGCAGCCAGACCAACCTGGCCAGTTTGACCAGCTGCCGGACCTCTTTCCCAGAGCGGATCCTGGAGGACTCAGGAATGGAGGAACAGCTGGAATTCCGTTCTCGCTGCAGCAGCACTGCCAGCCTGCAGAGGAGAGCTCAGGAGAATAACTCCAAGCCTTCATCCCGAAGGCGCCATGCCAGCGCCCCGAGCCACGTCCAGCCCTCAGACTCTGAAAAAAACAGGACAATGTTGTTTCAGGTAGGGCCATTTCTGATGGACCCGGTGGGCATGGACAGTCCTGTTGGGGGTCATGTTTGATCTGGATCAGGGGAGGCAACCTTGGCTCTTTTATGACTCGTGGATTTCAACTCCCAGAATTCCTGAGCCAGCATGGCTCAGCTTGGAAACCTCTCCCTTTCTCCTCAGCATGGCTGGCTCAGGAATTCTGGGAGTTGAAGTCCACGAGTCATAAAAGAGCCAGTTGCCTACCCCTGCTCTGGATGATTCAATGCTCTTGCAAAATGTAATTTTATATCCATTTGGTTAAAATGGATATACAGCTGTAGTACTTCGATGCCTCAATAGTTGCGAACTGGTGGGTGCCATTTGGGAGGTCTTTCATAGAAGACCTGGTGGCTGTGATGACCTTTGATTCGTCACAGATTTCATTTCGGGTTGTTTTTCTTTTTTCTTTTTAAAGAGTTTGAATTTTGCCAGTTGAAATTTTGTAATGACCGCAACCGGGTCATTCCTACAGGACTGAGAGATTTGAGAGTCAGAATAAGGGGTATTATTACACACATGTCCTGGGGGAGTTGTATCTTTTGGGGTGTTGAAGAGTAAAGATGCGAAGAGAAGGAAGAGAGTTGCTAGAAGCAAATTATTCTGGCTTAAAACATCTCCAGCTCTTCAAGATAGGCTGAAATTACATTGTTGTGAGGTAAACACAAGAATGCAGAGGAGAGAGAGGGAGAGGGAGAAGGAGAGGGAGAGACAGAGATAGAAAAGTGTTGTGTTTTTATAGCCCGTCCTTGGCTGTTGGTGAAAAGAGACCGCTCCTGGTCTCCATCTCTGATCAGTGATCAATGGAAGAAGGTGTTACAATTACCCTTGACCATGTAAGGGATTAGATAAAGGGGCTCTTACGCTCTGGAGAGGCCCACAGCAATGAACATTTGGCAAGCTGATTGATGGATTGTTTTGTATTTTGGTGGAGGGCACAAGCTGATATCGGTTTCTTTCGCCAAGAAATGAATACTAAGGTGGGAGTTGAGAGAAAAAATGGAAGCAGTGTTTGGAAGATCCCGGTGCAGCTCCTGCTCTCTGAAATCGAAGCCAAGGGCTGGAGAGGGCCCTCTGCCAGACTTTCTCATTTTTTTAGAGGGTTAGTCAAGCAGGCTCTTGGCAGTATCTCTGCCTCGTTCTTGGCAGAACAACTGTTTGGGAAGCTTCCCTTTTACATGCCTTAAATAAGCTACGTGAGGAAATATTTCGGAGCCGGGCCCAGGATTTTCAGAGCAGCTTGTCCAAGATATTACGCATCACCTCCTGCTTTGACATGTTTTCTCTTCCAAGGTGGGTCGGTTTGAAATTAACCTCATCAGTCCAGACACCAAATCCGTTGTGTTGGAGAAGAACTTCAAAGACATCTCCTCATGTTCTCAGGTGAGAAGCACAATTGAAACCCCTGCTTGGGGACAGGTTTTGAACAGCCTACATTTTGAAGACCTAGCCAATGTGAGGAGGCTAGATGACCTTACATTGCTTTTTTTCTCTCCTTGTTTTCTTCTTTTAGCTGTGGGATTTGGCCCCTGTTGGCAAATGTAGCTTTTTATGAAAAAGGGGTCTCAATTTTGGGGGAAAGGGCAGGGACACATTTGGGAATTGTACCTCCTAGATCAGGGGTAGGCAACCTTGGCTCTTTTATGACTTGTGGACTTCAATACCCAGAATTCCTGAGCCAGCCATGCTGAGGAGAAAGGGAGAGGTTTCCATGCTGAGCCATGCTGGCTCAGGAGTTCTGGGAGTTGAAGTCCACAGGTCATAAAAGAGCCAAGGTTGCCTACCCCTTTCCTAGATAATCACCAAGATGAGGGTTGTGTTCACAAAAGGGGCTGCAGGAGATGACCAGGCTGAGGGAGGAGTCAAAGGCGTCATCAGTCTCAAATTCCTTTGCACCGACAAAAGATCTAAGTCCAGCCCACCTTGAATTCCGTCGGCTCTTATCTACTGCCCATTTGCTTTGACCCTTAGCAGTTCAAGTTCTTATAAAAGCATAGCACACAGGTGGTCCTCGAATTAACAACTACAGCCGATCCCAAAATTTCCATTGCTAAGAGAAACATTTGTGAAGTGAATTTTGCTCCATTTTACGACCATTCCTGCCACACTTGTTAAGGGAATCATTGCACTTGTTAAGTTAGTAACGCAGTTAAGTGAATCTGACTTCCCCCGTGACTCTGGGGCACTGCAACTGTCACAAATGTAAGTCAGCTGACGAGAGTCTGAATTTTGGTCACATGACCTTGGGGATGCTGCAGTGGTCGTTAAGCATGATAAACAGCCATAGGTCACTTTTTTCAGTGCCACTGTAACTTTGCATGTTCACTACATGAATTTTTGTAAATCGAGGACCACCTGTACCATAAAGCTACATTCATTTGATCTACTCAGACTCCTGATTTCCTGAGCTTGACTGGGGTGGGGGTGGGGCAAGCACCAAAGACTCCTTCCCAAGCCAGCAAGCAGGTGAGATGCCTCGTCGCCTTTCTTGGGGAAATCCATCTCCAATCTGGTTTTCTTCAGATCTGCTTAGTTATGGCTCCTCGCGAGGGCTTCAAGCTCAACCCAACAATTCGTGATAGTCAGAAGGACGGGACTTGTAATGAACCGATTCTGGAAGGTTGTAACGTAGAAGAAAGTTGAGCTTTCACACTAAATCTCCATATCTGGTCTGGGCCAACTGTCTTCTACTACAAGGCTTTTCAACGGGTGGTACGGATACCACCTGTGGTACATTGGCACCTGGCAAGTGGTACGCGACCATCCTAGAAAAGTGCTAGCAGGGGAGGGGAATGAGCTGAACCGGTGGCAGCACCGCACAAGCCTGAGTGAGAGATGGCTGGAGCTGCAGGGCTGTCGCCGAGTGGGCAGGCAGGTGTCTTGCTCGGCTGTGCCTTGGGGAGCATGTTTTTCAGTGCTATTGTAACTTCAAACAGTCACTAAGCAAACTGTTGTAAGTCGAGGACTACCTGTACTTTATCACTTTTTTCCTTTTTTTGGTCAAGTTTTTGACACCTTGCTAGGCGACTGGTGGTACTCGGATGTTGCCATATCCTAAAAGTGGTACAATGGGTGAAAAGGTTGAAAAGCCCTGTTCTACTAGATGACCAGGCAGAGTTCTTTGTGGCCAGATTGAGTATTTA